CTGCATCATCTTTAACATCAGTATGTCTAAATTCAAGGCGACCTTCGTCATTCTTTTCTTGGATTTTATTAGCTCTCTTTGGTAAGCTGTTACAGTTTTGTAGCATTATTTTTTTCTTGCTCTAATTCATGTGCATTAATGTGGGCCAGTTATCCTTTATAAGATTTATTCTACCGTTATCTTTACAATTTTTTGGGGATAAAATTCTGGTAGATCATGAAACAAATCACTGAATTTGATGATTGATAAAAAATTACATATATTCTGTTTAAAAACTTTGTTTCTAACTCTAAAAAATGGAAATAATAGTAGATTAACTAAAAAATGGAACTTTTTTATTGGATTGTCCTATTAAGCAATTATGGTTATGTTTCTGTTTGGATTTCTTACTACAGTGTGATATTTCTTTTCGTTTTATTGAAAGAATAAAAGAAATATCAATTATCAAAAGTATATTCATTTTCTTTATTCACTTGTATTGTATATGAATGTATGCATGGAATAGATTGTATTGTATATAATAGCAATAAATAACAAATTTGTATATTTTTGGAGTTATTTTCAATTGACTTCATCAAAATCAGTTGAATTTAATTTGTCTAAAAATAATATAAAAATATATGTTGAATTTGAATGATGCATTGATATGTATTACCAAGCCCTATTCATGTATTATATATTTAAATATGCATGATTTTTATTTACAGTTATAAAACCTTAACTTTACATAAGGTAAAATAATATAAACTTCTTTTTTAGAAACTAAAAATTGAAGTTAAATACTTGCTTTTTTTATTATTAATTTTACTTATATCTTAAAATATATAATGTATGTATGTATTTGCTTTGTGCTTTAAAAAAAAAAAAAAAATTTATGACTATATAAAAATTTGGAATTCATGAGTATTCTTTCCTGATTCCCAATAAAATTTGTAGAAAATCTATTTTACACCAACACTTAGATGCAAAATTTATTTAAATAAAAGAAATTTATGACTGTTTTAATTTAACCACTCATGATGATTGAATATATATATTTTTTTTTAGATTTAATTTTACCTGTTCATGATGATCATTCAACTTATGTCATTCTTGGTGTTCTCTTGTGTCTAAGACACATAGTACCACATCTTAGTGAAGCTATGATGTCTCCAAATTCTAAAAGCGGCAGTATAATTCAGAATGAAGAAGAAATGATTGTGACTAAAGAGCAATTGTTAAAGGTAAATATCATGTACTCTGAATATTGATAATTTTATGAAATTAAAAATATATATATATTCACTTATAAAATTTATGTATGTAAATTGAATAGTAATAATTTATTTATATATTATTTATTTTCTTTTTTGTTCTTAAAATTCTCACATTTGCTATATTATCACATTTAATTATCATTTTATTATAGCATGTGGTATGATTTGAGTAATTTTTAGTACTGTAAAAAAAATCTTTTAAATTTATTTTATTATTTTTTAAATATAGTGAAATTTCTTTTGTTCCTTTAAATTTAGATATTTTTATTTTTTTTACAATCTAATAAAAGTTTTAAATATGTATTGATTTTCTTTTCTAAAGTGGTATATATAATATTATTTTAACTTTTACAGATTTATGAACTTGTTTTACATTTTTCAAATCATCCTGATCATAATGTCATTACAGCAACATTAGAAACATTGTATCACTTGTTAAAATGTGCGCCAAAAGTATTGCAGCATGAATTAACATCTCCTTATGGTATTACAAAATCATTGATCTTTGATGTTCCAAAGTTAAATCGAGCTATGAGTGAAAGTAATTTTTTTTCCTTTATTAGAAAAATATTTTGTTGTAGTAGACTAATCAATTTATTTGTATGAAGTACATTATGGTATATCTATTGAATAATGATCTTTTTCAGAGAAAATAATTGCAATTAATTTAGAATTTTCATAATCTTCTAATAATTTTGAAAAAAAGGGCAAGTTTTGATATCAAAAGTAAAGATATTTTAAATTAATTAATCAACCAATATCTAGCATATTTATATTAATTTAAATTATGATTTTAATTGCATCATTTTAAAAACTCGTGTTGTGTATGCCATTTTAAAATTAATTTCAATTTTGTACTTTATAATTTTAATGCATATTGCATATCAAAATTTAAAATTTTTTGAATTATTCTAATGACATATAAAATGTATTTTTAAATCTTTTGCAGAATATAAATCATATTTAGAAAAATATCTTCTTGAATATTTGTTTCCAGTTTTCAATATCTGTTCCTTTAGAAGTTCTGATAATTTCTGTAAATGACTAAGTAATTCTGAAAAACAAAATGGATCTTCTTATTTAAAAGCTATTTATAAAAATTGAAAATAAATAATTTTGGTGTTAAAAAGAAAACATTCTTTCATCTAAACTTATGAATAGCATTGTTCTATAGAAAGTTTGCTACTGTAGAAAAGGTATAGCAAATATAAAAAAGCTATTCATGAAAATATATTACGAGTATTTATACCCGCCATTAAATTCTAATTGTTAAAATAGTGAATGGAAATCAAAATATTTCCCTTACATTAAACTGTGTAGCAGGCATATTTTACTATGTAGTAACTGATACTTTAACATGACATTGATTCTTTCATTCTATTGATTCGAAAAGAAAAAAAAATTGTAAGCTTTTTGCTGTAAAAAATATTTTTCTTGTAATATTCTTTCTACTGATATATGAGTTATATCGACTCTTTTATTAGTTAATATCAGTATTTCATAATTTAGAAATACGCAATTAAGATTGTTTTCTATGCTATGCATATATGATATATACAAAGTAGTCGCCTTCATCCTTGTCCAACAATTATCCGATCCAAAGACCTTTTTTTATTGTGTGTTACTTTTGCAGCAAACTTTTGAAACACCCTGAATATTTTGTTATAAAATAGAAATTTTTTATTTATTGCTTTGGCCCTACAATTTATAGTTTGCAAAAATTTGTATTTACAGTTACGTGTTTTGACGCTTTCAATTGTTTTCCAACCAAAATTGATTGACTTCATTTTTAATGAATTTGCTTAAAATTATTTGCAAAACCTTTGAGATTGTATAGAAAAGTCTAAAAAGGACTAATTATACTAATCAGAAAAAATATCCTCCCTCCAAAACAATATATGATCCATATAAATTTACATTTTTAAATCTTAAATAGTGCATTCAAATTGTACCAACATAGACGGACAGTTTTACTTGGAAAAAAAAATATATAATTAACTATAATGTCAAGTCATTAACAATGCTGTTTGGAAATGAAATTATGTAAAATACATTATTTTTCACTATTTTATCTTACTTACCAAAAAGATTTTATTAGCAACTGACATACTGATAGTGGAGTAATAATGTGACTATAAGCCTCATCAACAAATAAGATATATTTTTTTAAAATTAATGTTTTAGTAGTGAACAAAAAAGAGAAGAATATTAGTCAAATGAACAAAAGGAGAAAGAATTTTAATTGAAAAATAAACAAAATAAATTCAGTGATATTTAGAACCAGTTGCCACAAAAAGTTTAAATGAGAAAAACATTAAAGGTCTTGAAATTATGACATACTAGGTATTGTAGATATTGAACTGGGTGTGTGAGAGTCATAGATACTTAGGTGGAAGGAGTTAGGAATGGGCAGATGGTTAGCTCTGCCTACAATGGGAAGGAGTTAGGAATGGCTGAATATAGAAATCAGACAAACAAATTTGAGCTCGCTGAAGGTGACTTTTTGACGATGGTAAGAAACACCTTAAGCTTGTCAATTGTAGCACTTCAACAACTAGTTATGTATATTCTCTATTCTTCTTAGATAACTGAAAATGGTTATGAACTCTTTTAAGACTATCAGTTGGTTAGTATTGAAAACTTGAAAGAAGCTGCAAGTTTTCAATGAACGTTCTTTGTATAGGAGATGGTGGGGTGCTTGTTCTTGAATAACATCAGTAATAAATAGTTGTGGAATCTCTGATTTTGAGGTGAATAATGTGAGGTTTGAGGGTGGATTTGCATGCCAGTTTTGGGAACTTAAATATGTTTTCAAAAACACTCCAAGCCCCTTTACCAGCAGCAATCAATTGTTTTTCAGAAATTAGTATCCTAAAGCAGTTGCTTCACCTGAACTCTGACAAAAATGCATTTATTTTTTATCTCTGTTATCCATGGAAATATGTTTGTCAAAATATCCATATAACTTCACCATCTTTATTTGCTTCAATAAATTGTTGATAAACCCATGTTTTATGAGTCCACTTGACTGACAGACTATAAAAATTATATATATGGACCTGCCAGCATCAATACTGCTTGCCTTCTCTTTGAAAATTTATTATGCAGTCTGTGATGTATATGCAAGGCTTCATATTGATGATTTTAAGTTTAGGATAGACAGATATGTTGATGGAAAACGTAAGAGCATAAGAGAATCCAAAAATTAAATAGCATGCTCATAGTGGAAATGTTTGAGAGAAATATGTACTCTTTGGAAAATCGTAGCTCAGATACCTTGTGTTTTTGGAATTTCTTTTCCATTGCTAAATTATGATGTGTGAAATTGAACTGAATTTGTTGGAACAAAGCAGAAAGGAGGAAACTATGTTTGATGCAAAATTTGAGATTTGCTGATTTTCTGTAATGACAATTTCAAGGTATCTTAAACTAAAATTTCACAATACTATTTTTATTTTAAAACAATCCTTCCTCCATAAAAATTGGCATATAATAAAGTGATTTTGTTGCTGTATTTAGGTTTAGATCTGGGAAATCTATTAGAATCAACCATTGTTATTACTGGATAGAATTTGGTGTTCTCAAGTGTTATTAGCAGTGTAATAAATTATGTATTAAATTAGCAATATTAATTTGTTTAATCAGTTATTTGAAATAAAAAATAAAATACAAATTTCAATAAATAAAATGAAAGTCATACCGTTTTTTTTTATTACTAATACATCACAACAAAATATACAGCCAATGGCCATGCCATGCTGAATATACCGGTTCTCGTTAGATCACCGAAGTCAAGCATCATTGGGCGCGGTCAGTACTTGGGTGGGTGACCACCTGGGAACACTGCGTGCCGTTGGCAAAATTTGGGACCTGAATGGCCGAGTGTCTAGCGCTCTGGCGCTCGGTGTCACAGGTTTCGGGTTCGAATCCCGGCGGTGCCATGGATGTTTGTAGTGGTTCGGAATCCACTTTAAGCCGTAGGTCCCGGTCTCCTATGACTGTAAGAGCGTCACGGAGCAAAAGTCAGGCTTCTACCTACGGGTGCTCCATCACAACAGAAGCTGCTTCCTTCCCCTTCAATCATGAGTCCATATGGGCTCGTGGGCTTGGCCAGCCAAGTGGGATAAGAAACAACAGCAAACAACAAAATATACAACAAATATAATAAAATATACAAATTTTGTCTTATTTAAAAATGACATAATTGATGTTATATATTTTGCATGCAATAATGATATAATTTTGTTAACTTACTGCTTTGGTTTATGTACTTTTATATACTTTACTAAGTAGGAAAATTAATTTAAAGGAATGAAGTCTGGTGATTATGAAGGCTATTCAACGTGCGCAGTTATTTTACCTCTAAACCAGAAAAACACACATAGTGCAAGTTATGTATGCTCTGACTAATCTTGTTGAAATCTTATAATTGACATTCCTCCAAGTAATCACATCTTAATTCCAGTTAAATATTCAACTATTGTTTCTGATATTCGTATTCAAAGATTGTTCTTATTCGTGTCAGGAGTTTTTAAAGTGTAGTTTGACTGAAATCTGAAGAAGCGCTGTTATGTTTACAGTGTTAAATGAAGATTGGATTTTTGCACATTTCTACTGCTGTTCAAAAAAGCATTTTGCCTCTAGAGATTGGATACAAAAAGTTATTGAATGAAATACTACAAAATTAGATTCCCATGTTAAACCAAATAATTTAACAAGCTGAAGGAGGGAAAAAAATATCAAAAACAAAACGCAAAGAAAAAAAATGATCACACATAATTTAATTCATTACACCTTAATTGAGTAAATGAGTTGAAAATGAACTTCAATTATATTTATTTAATTCATTTATATATATATATATATACACTCAGATTTAGGAATGACAAAGCATTGCTGGTATATTTATATAGCACAATAAATTCGTAGGTTTTAAAACAAAAACTAGGTTATTTGAAGCATTCTAGTTATTCCTTATATTATGCAATTAAATGCAATATAAATAAAATGTATTGATCTGTATTTTAATTTTGCCATTTCTGTCATACAGTTCACCTAATATTTGTTTTAATATGCAGAAAAAGGATTTATTTCATAATGTTCCATTTTTCGTAATCCATTTTCATTATAAAAGAATGGAATTATTTTCTGTTTTAAAGTTATAACAATACATTTTCACAAAATATAACTTACATCACCCAAACTTGTAAAATGTGGATTTTACTTTTTTTTTTTCTTTTTTAGAAACCTAGTTATTAATTGTCTCTGAGAAAATATTATATAATTTAAAACTTTTTGAAATTGAAAATATATTTTGTTATAAAAAATGACTATTGAGTATTGGTAAATAAGGAAACATGATTATATATAACTATCTATGTTTTAAGTAGGCATACATGTTGACTAAGAAAGTGTTTTCATTGAGATGTAGTGTAAATGCAACTTCTGCAGTGTCATTTAAAATAAAATGAGGTTTGGTTTTGGCTTCATATGACAACAAATTTTTATGAAATTAATTCCCAAGATTTATAAAAGTACTAATGATCACAAATACAAGCTACTTGGATACAGATAATGAAAAGAATGATGTCAAACATCAATAATATACTTCAATAGAGATTTTTCTATTTGCATTTTATATATATTTTGATAGTGTCATGTTTTGTAAAATATTTTAATCTAACTTTTAAAAAGCTATAAATTGAACTTTCAAAAGAAAAATAATGTATAAGTATGATAAAATTTTGTAATTTTTATAATGTTTTATTTTTTCTATTTGACTGTAGGTCAGTACAGCATGGTTCCTTCTTTAGCCTCCATTGATGAGGCAGCATTGGAAGATGACCAAGATCTATTTGTTGCTGAAAAACAAAGTAAAATTATTTCTTGTTTTTTTTCTAAAGAAGGAATTAAATGTAAAATATAGTAGATTTTTTTGTGGAGGGAGCTAGGGAACTGTTCACATAATCACTTGACCATAATTTTTTATATTATAATTAAACATGATATGTTTAGGATAAAACCAGAAGTTTTATATACTGATGAGTCATTACAATGACCACTTTATTATAATGATATGTGGAGGTTAGGAGGAGTTAGTGTATATACCCATCAAGTAATATACACTAACTCCTCTAGTTAATGTATATTACTTGATGGGTATGATATATAACGTTAATTTAGAGGCCAGGTCATCAACTGTTAATCACTGTCATGTTTTTGAAACTAATATGTGACACTACCGTAACGTGAACCATTTTGTCTATGATAATGTTGAAGTATTTGGTAGTTGCCGGAGATAGAATGATCAGTAGGTCCTTAAAAAACATTACCATTACCATTACCATAAGATAGCCACCACTAACTTTTTTTGTTTACATTGCAGTGCATTCTTGCACCATTGCCTCTGTCAATAATTGTCATATCCTGTCTCCCTCTCTCTTTTTGTACATGTGAGAATCTAAGTGAGCAAAAGTGAAAAAGGAAAATGATATGCGAGATTAAAAATGTTTCTAAAACACAATGAATCTAAAATGATTACTTTTCCAAAATATGAAATATTTTAGAGCATACACTAATTTAAAGGCATAATGCACTTTCTATGTGTAGTTATAAACTGGCTACCACAACAAGTGCTTCTCTTTCTTTTATATGATTGCTTTTTTTTCCCAACAATATGTTTGCTTGAACATATTTTGTTTTTGAGTGACAATTGGTCAGATGGGCACCCAACACAATGCAACATTAATGATGAAGGTTACTTTCAGTCTAACCTCATTTTTATTAATTTTATGTAGTGATGCTGATTTGAAAATTCAGAAATTATTAAATCATAAACACTTTTATATAATTTCTATTCAGTAATTTTTGTAATGTTAATGAAATTAATAGAAATTAACTTTCAACATTCCTTAAATTTTATTTGCACTCTGTTCAATACAACAAAATTGTCACGTTGGTCTTTGCCACCCTTTATCTGGGTATAATTCCCTATTAATATAGTTTGCTATATCAGTTTGTGTGTTTCTTAACTTTTATAGTTGGATGGATGGTGTTTCAATTTGATGCTATAGCAATGATGGGATGATCATTTAATAAAACAACAAAAATGCCCTGCTCATTTTAAAATACAGATTTATACATCCCACATTCTTTCTCATTTGACTTGCAGGTGAAATAGGATATTTTCCTAACCTGTTTTCTCATATTATTCCAGTAGCCCTGAACCCTAATTTATTCAATTCAAACCATAACTTGTGCAAAGTAAAAAAGTTGTAGTATATATATAATAGTTTAATTCAGATTAACATAAACACCAAATTTTATATCCAAAATGCACGATTTTCTTGTAATTTTTTTACAATAGTGTTTACCAATATATGGTATAATTTATTATTGATGGATAGGTTTTTATAGAAAACTTCATATTTTATAAAATTAGCTTTTAGAATATCCAGATATTGTTGTAAATTGGATAATTTAACTGAAGTATATTATCTGTTAAATGCAGATTCCGCTTTATAGCACTAAACATTGCACTGGACATAGTTGCCCATAATAATGGTTATTTAACATCTTCACCAAATGACCAGTTCAATTTTTCTCTGGGAAGAGAGGCAAGAAAAGTAAAAATGTAGAAAGTGCATCAACATTGGAAGAGCAAAATAAAATTTTGCACATTTTTCTAATTTGCATGCTTTACACTTTCTTGACAAATATAGTTCAAAAGACTAATTATACCGTTGTAAAAAAAGCATCAGTTAGATTATAATTATGTGTTTTATATACAATATTATTTACTTTTTCTATAGATTCATTCTGAATAGGTGCATTTTTATATTCCAGAGCACTGTTTTCACAAGAAGTGTATTTATTTTTTATTTCTTTAATAACTTTGACAAATTTTTGCATTTTGTTGATGAATCTGATTTATTAAAAAAAATTTTAGATGAAAAATCTTTAATCTCACCTTTAGTATTGGCAATTTTTTATCTAAAATGTTACCATCAATACGTTTTTCTTTTGTGGTACTATCTAGATCAGGGGTGACCAACCCCCTGCCCGCCTTGAATATTTTTCAAGCCTGTGAGATTTATCACACTTTTACAAAATATATTTATTTTATAACGGCCAAAGTAGTAAAAATCAATGTATTAATAAAATACATTATGTGTGCATCCATATATTCAAAAATTAGCTGTCGAAATTATGTGAAAAAATTAACTTTGATTTTAAAATAGTATTCTTTCGAATATATGACAGATATTGCCTGTTTTATTTATGAGTTTACAGTTATGAGTTCGTAAAATAATTAAATTATATTCTGCAAACTCATGATGCGCGCGCATCTTGGAATATCGAATATTACAGGTTCCATGTTTCACTGTAAGTGACCTCAGTGACCATCCCTAGATACGCACAGTTGATAGCAGAGCAAACCAGACTCTTAGTTGAAGTTGTTAGCGCTTTTAGTTCAACTTACAACTGCGAATCCTTTTTTTCTAAAATGTAATTGACTAAACAAAAAAGGCGCTCAAACATAACAGACGATAACCTCTGTAACATCAATTACGATGAGCAAATACCTAAATTGAGATCGATTTGCAAAAGCTAAGTGGTGAAACAAATACAGCGCTAGTAAAATAAATATTTTTAAGGATTTCATTTTTTTTATTTCTTTTATATTTATATATTTTTTTAACTAATTTTTAGTGTTATATATTTCTTTAAAATGTACGTGTAGTATCTATATTATTATGTTATCTATGTTTACATGTAAGAAAAATAGTAAACACAATAATAATAACTCATTATTTTTCAATTTTTCACTCCAAAAAATGTCTATAGTGGGTCTA